CTTCCACCCCTTGAAGGTTAGCAGGTCACGGGGCTGTTTAAGGACCCACAGAGAGAGAGTGAGAACTCTCCCGGGAACCCTAGTCATCATGACCAGTCATGTTAACTTGCACCAGCTCAGGTGGGATGGGTTAGCAAGTGGCTGGACCACGAGGGCTGGGAAAGGGGGCCTTCTCTGCAGCAGGCAGGATGCAGCGACACTCTCTAGGGCCTGATGAAGCAGTTAGGGACTGCACGGAACAGATTTCACTCAGGCCTCCTCTTCCTAGAAGGAATGAGATGCTCCTTGATGGGCTGGGAACGTGCCCCACTTCCCATCCTGCCTCTGAGGTCATCAGCTCCCCGCTCCACCCCCAGCAAAGCCTGGGATTCAAGCCTTGGCTGTTAGAAATGACAGCAGAGACCTGGGGCCAAGGCAAAGCTCTCTTTCTTGGGGCTTTCTACCCTTAGGCTCACGGGAAAGATCCCTTTTCTAAAGATACAGGAGACCTGAACAGAACTCATAGAGGAAAAAAAAATGAAAAAGTCGAGAGAAATAGAATAAAAGAGTTAAAGAAGAGAGTGGGGGTGGTGGGGAGAAAAACAGAGGGAGAGAGGCAGAGAAGGTTGAATGTACAGGAGCAGGTGTGAGGCTGTGTGCACCCAGGAGGGGTTCTGCAGGGCCAAAGACACTCACACTTGCCTGTGATGGTGCTGTCCTCAACCCGACCTGCCTGGCCTCAGTCTAACTTTCAGGGCATCTGGGATGTTACTGACTGGGACCAGGGAAACACTTTCACTGTCTCCAGTGAGACACGAGTCTCAGCCCAGCTCTGGTACCACCAGACTCTCAGGACACCCTCAAGGGCTCCAGACACCCCACTATCACTGAACCTAGGCAACCACACTGGACTGGCAGACACACCATGACCCTCAGTCACAGCTCCAGCAAAATCCCTCACAGAGACCCCCATCTCCAAACCATGCCAAAAGACATGCCGTCCAACTCTGCCCTGACGGTCATGGGCCAGCTATGCTGCATCAGGCATTTAAGTCATAGGCGGTCTGACACTTAGTGCTTCTGCCCAAGCTGTGCCACATCACCACCCTTCATTTCCTTCCACTGGTGCAGGAAACTGTCAAGCAGAAGCCACGGTGGGGGGTGGCTCTGCTGATGGAAGTATCTAGTGGTGGTGACCATCTTCACTGTGTCCAAAAAAAGAGTGCTAGGAGGGGATACCACAAAAGGTCCAACAATGCAAAGGGCAGTAGGGTGGTGATCATCTCAGGCTCATAAGAAATCCGGGATTATAAATGGGAATACTTGCCCCCAAGGAGACCCAAGAGCATGAAGATGAAGACAGGATGTTCCCAGCAAACCCTCCACCCAATAGGTCCTAGCCCTGCTATGAGGGATACCCAGCACCCTCCGAGTTCCTTCCTAAAGGCCCGTATTTGAATTTTAGTAAATCAGCTCAATATGTTCTAGGACTTTGGGTATTAAATAAAAGAAGTCAGTGAAGTCTCCAAACAATAAGCTCATTCAACACAATCTTTTTTCTCCCCCATCTGGGGACTTGAATACAGTTAACATGAATAAATCCTGTTGTGTAAAAACTGGGAGAGAGGAAGGGGGGTATGGAGGATGGAAGGAAGTGGCAGGATTCCCATTTGTTGGTCTAAGAGAAAGGCTAAGACAGAACCCAAAAAAATGCCAGCATGCCAAGGTAGCCCAGGGAAACGGTGGTAACACTTTGCAGTTCAGGTAGTATCTGGAAATTCCCCACCCATGCATTCCCAGTTCCTCTGCAGAACTCAGACTAATACTCATGTTTGCACTCAACCTAGAAGTGAGCCCTTGGGCAGCCCCAAAGCTCACCACAAGCCAGGCCTGACAACGTATCAGGGAAGATTCACTGCAAATATGCACAAGTATTTCCTGCCTCTTTCCCACCCTCGCTAGTGTCCTCCAACATAGCTGAGACCATTAGGACGAAAGACTACAATTATTCAATTATTATTCTGTTTATTATTCAGGAATTCTTCCTAAATACCCCCAAGAACAGGTGGAACAGCCTCTGTGGGTAATTAGCGTCCTGGACACACTTATGATTAAGAAGATTTGCGTGTGTGAAATTCTACAGCATAATTCATGGTTGAAAGTCATCTGGGCCCACACGGTCCTCATGGATGAAGGTTCTACAGCCTTCCAACCCGCTGTACTTAACAAAAAGGAGAAGACACAGAGTCAGCTACCAGAGTCATAGAGCCAGACACCGTCCACCTGAAAAGCAAGCCAATTCGACTTGGGGTTTGAGTTTTTAAGAAATGGGAAACCACTAAGCTCTTCAGATTCCATTAGGACCACCAGATTAATACTTCCTTATTTTTGTGGGATTCCACACCCCACCTCCTGGGCTGGTAAAGCAAGGACTAGTGCTGGTTATGCATCACAAGGTTTTTCCCTGCTTGGAAACAACAGTTGTTGTTGTTCAGTCGCTAAGTCTTGTTGGAAACAAGACGGCTTGTTTCCAACAAGGGGTTATCTTTCTAACCCCTTACCTGGCACGAGGCTAGGTGCGTTAATTTGCTAAATTGTGCGTTCTCCCTCCTCAGAATCAATCCTATCTAGCATAGACACGCAGGACTGCCAAAAACAAAAGGTTGGCCGGGAAATAATTATGGTGCAGACTTGGGTACTCAATTCCAATTCTATAACTTTACTGGTGAAAAAAAACAAACTTGCAGCAGAAAGGCTGCCAAAGTTAATACATTAGAGCCATGTGTGTGTAGCAGAAGTGTTCCCAGGGTGGGAACCCAGAGCGAAGGCTTCAATATTCCATGAACTTCCTGGGCACATCTGTTGCCTGGGTTTTTCCTTTTCTCTCAATAGAAGAAGAGCTTCCACCATCACCCTGGTTGTGCCTCACAGATAAGTCTCTTGCATGGAAGTTACCATCAAGTAGTCATTTTGTACCAGAATTCTTCACCTTCTGCTGCACCTCCAGATGGCTGCAGGCACGACCACACCAAGACCTCAGATTCTATTTACAACCATGACAGCTAACCACATGCTCAATGGATTCTTCATCTGATACCACAGTGTCATAGATGGCTAGGGTTTGTTTTAAGTCAGCTTTCTGGAGGTATAATTTACACAAAGGGCGAAAACAAAACTGCCCTGTTGGCTGCTGTTCTAGAACTGTAGAACCAACACTGCCATACAGATTCAAGAAATGAAGATCTCTATCATTTTAGAAATTTCCTTCAAGCTCCTTTGTGGTGAAGCCTTTGTCCCAGCCCTAGCAACTACTGACCTGTTTTCCTTTCGGACAGTTTGGCCTTTTCCAGAAAGTCACACAAATGGAATCACACAGTGTGTAGGCTTTTCAAGTCTGGCTTCTCTTTCTTAGGACACTGGTGGTATCATGCAGCTACAAACTAAGTTACTAAGTGCTGGTTTTTAAGCTCTGGACTTTTGCTTTTTATCAAAGAGGTGAAATAACTGGCTCTGTTCATCTTTGCTGTGCAGTAACCACGTTTGGTTTAGCCTTTTAATAAAGCTGAGGCTTGGGAACAAGGTGACCTGACCCACCAACTCGTCTGTCCGAGACTGAGGGATTTCCTGGGACGTGGCACTTTCAGTGGCAAAACCCGTAAAGTCCTGGGTAAACTGTGACAGCTGGTCACCCTCCTTGGGAAAGCCACCTCCAAGGGCAGAAATGCACATGGCCCCGCTCAGATTCCTCCTGGGAGCAGAAGGTTGCTCTCTCAGAGCTGACAGCCAACCATCCTTCCCCCATTGAATCAGGAGCAGGCAGTCAATCGGCAATATGCTGGGACCGATCTGACCACACTCAATAGGCCTGCTGCTGTCTTTGAAGTCCATGGGAGGGGCTCAAGGAAGTGACAGAAGAACTCAGGGATGTGTTTAGGAAAAAAACAGTGCAGGGCTTCTGTTGCTGTCAGCACCACTTCCCCCTCACCCTTCCCGGCCGATATTTAAGGCCTACAGAGAGACAGGACATGAGAATATGCTGGGCTCATCTGGTTTATAACCAGTACAGTGCGTCCACGGTAATGCAATGCATGTTCTTGACTTTTTCTATGCATTCTCCTTACTCCCCTCCCTTTGAGTGGAGTTTTTCATTAGTTTGAGACCAAGGGCTTCCCTGGTGGCTCAGATGGTAAAAAATCTACCTGCAATTTGGGAGACACAGGTTCGATCCTGGGTCAGGATGATTCCCTGGAGGAGAGCATGGCAACTTACTCCAGTACTCTTGCCTGGAGAATCCCATGAACAGAGGAGCCTGGTGGGCTACAGTCCAGGGGGTCACAAAGAGTCAGACACCACTGAGCGACTTTCACTTTCAGGGGGAAGGTGATAGTCAAGCAACAGAAAATTAGTAAAGAGCTTGAAGTTTTTGTTAGAATGCAAGGGCCTCTCCTACATAAACTTAGTGAGACAGCAGAGGAATTCCTTGCCCTTCCAGCTGACCTCGAGGGAATTACATAGCTGCTCTGAGAAGCTAGGCTGCCTGGGAACAGACTAAGCATCTCTAGCTCAGATTTTCCAGAAGCATGAGGGGCACAGCTGGTACCAAATTAACTGTGAGGACCACCCAGCGCCCCCAAAGAAGGCAGGAACTGGAGGGGTCAGAACCATGTCAGAGGTTTCCAGGTATCTGCTCCCTTGAATTAATATAAAATTTCCCCTTACAAGTATAGCACAGCAGCTATTACAAGTTATTCCACCAAGCAGCAGTTAGTAATCTTTATCCTCATTCGTACAGATGAGGAAGCAAGGCTAAGAGGGATTAATTGACTTGCCCAAGGTCGCACAGTGAGTTAGTGGCCAAGGCCAGATTAGAACCCTGAGCCCCGGAGTGCCCAGGCCCGTGCCCAGCTCCCCAGCATCCCTCAGAAATCAGTCCAGAGCATGGGCAGAGCCAGGTCTGTGCCCTCGGGAGCCCTGGAGGCCAGGTGAGCTGCTGCAGGGGGCACAGGCAGGCTCATACTCACAAGCAGAAGCCTGCAGCATCCTTCTCTGCACCACCAGACAGCAACACCCCTGTGCTGGAACAGACAGAAAGAGGCTCAAGTCGAGAAAGCCACGGGCGGCCACTGCAGGCCTGCAAGCTCCACGTCTGGAATCTGGCTTTGAGATCATGCCTCATTTCCCTTGGTGCCCAGGGCTCCTGTGGCCTGGAATTCATTCCTTCACTCATTCCCCCATCATGTCCCAGACACTTACTATGTTGCCTGGCAGTGCACTAGGGCTGAGAGGGAGCCATCCTTGGAAAAGAGAGACAGCCGTGTTTTGAATGGGTTTCAAGGCAAACAGACATAGAGACATATAATGATAAGACAATGTGACTTGAATTCAACAAATAGTTTCTGAGCACTTCTGATGCGCTGTACCTAAAATAGTGAGGGAACACAGAGCAACTCAGGGAAGGCTTCCTGGAAGAGGCGGCACATGGGCCTGAAGACAGAAGAGTTTCCCTCTGTGGCTTAATCGCTTCCTGGCTAAGAGGACACTGATAAGGAAAGAGCCTGAAATTGTTCTGAGCTCTTCTTTCTCTATAAGCCCTTGCTGTTATTAGAACAGGAATCTACCCTTTAGAAACTCTTTTCTTGGGGATCTCTTATCTGGGTTCTGACTCTGAGTTAATCTCTTCCATCTCAGTGGACCTGTCTCAAATAGGAGTGAATAATCCCACGTCTTAGAGAGGCTCCGGGCTTCGGAGACACGTTCACACAAAAGTCCTTGAGCCACAAATTCCTCACACAGCTGATAGCAACTTCTTTCCCACCAAGGCTGCCGTGCTCCTCTCTCAACAGGAAATTGGTTTTATTTATAAGAATCACAATCCTAAACTGACGTTTACTGGGCTGCCCACATTCCCTCTCTCACTTCCCTCCCCTCCCCAGGGCACATTCACCCTCCAGAGATTCCTCAGCGACCACAGAGCAAGCAGTGAAGAGTGCTCGGAAAACCGGATGGGCAAATGCTGGAGATTGTTTCCTAGAAGGGGATACTGAGGCCTGGGGAGTGACTCACCCAGCCAAGCAGGACCCGTGGGGCTCCAGGTTCCCAAAGAGCTGCCTCTTCCTTGCATCCTGACTGTTCTCCCTCCTGTTTCTGCCTGGGCTCTAGGAAGAAGTGCCATCTTCCCTCAGCTTGGGGAAAGCCTCCCATCTCTGGATGACAGAAGTCTTTAGAGAAACGCTTCCCATCATTAAAGGGATTTGGAAGAAGACTGGCACAGCTTCCTCAGCTTTGAAGCTCCTTGGCCCTTCCTGACCTTTAATGGGGCTTGGAACCAGCCCAGTTCCAAGAGCTCTCACCCCTTCTGTAAAGGGCAGGGGTCCCAGAGCAGAAGTCCCCCCACCACTCCTGGCCGTTCAGCACCAAAGGTGACCTCTCAGGATTTGTTTCAGACCACTTCATTGCCAAAGCATCGAGGGCTCCCACGCAAAGAGCTTCAAAGTCAGGAGGATTCAAGGTCAAGTACAATCATGAGCAAACCCTGAGCTTAGGGTTCGGAAGCATCACATCAGAGATTGTTCTTCAGTAGCTTTCCCACAGCCTTTTAAAGCCTTTAAAAGCTTTGAGCAATTATGTTAGATTTCTGCGCCATCACAAGATTTGGTTAAACCACATCATGTAAGTATGGAAGAGGTATCTGTTTCACTCCACACTTGCTCTTAATTTTCCAGGTGAAGAAAGTGTTATATACTTTTTTCAAAGGCTCTCGTTGTTTTGGCTACACCTTAGAATCACCCAGAGCTTTAAAAAACACACCACCTAAGCTGAACCCTTAAACCAATTAAATCAGAATGTTGTGTGTGTCTGTGTGTATGCATGTGCACAATCAGTCGTGTCTGACTCTGCAATCCCATGGACCATAGCGCACCAGCTACTTCTGTCAATGGAATTTTTCAGGCAAGAATACTGGAGGCGATTGCCATTTCCTTCTCCCAGAATGTCTTGGATGGGGATCATATTTTTCAAGGCTCCCTGAATATCTCCAACATGTGTCTAAAGTTAAGACCCTCTGCCTTAAGTAGAAATTCAACTGGAAAAACCTGAGCTCCTCGACAAGAAAGAACAACAAATTCAGATGATGCTTCTGAAGGTAAAACAAGCACTATCAATCTGTTCATCCTTTTTAATTAGTTTTTGTTTTTCAGACCTTCCCTGGCCACAGATCACATGACTCCCACATAAGCTTTCAAGTAGTTTTACTGGCTTGACTCTTTACAGCTCATCTCTATCTTCCAGTGCCCAAGAATTAAGTGCCCTCCCCTGGCAATCAGGTGATCTGACTCACAAACCAAAGAACACAGGAAAGGGATGATACACTTTTGACCAATTATTGTGATCCAAATTAAAGTGACTATCTCAACTGTGCATGTATGGCTCCAAGTGTGATGCAATTTCAGGAAGCTTTGGCATGGGCTTCCAAGTGCAATCCACAGATAGTAGGTCAGTCACATTTGGCCCTGGACACGCTCACCAGCTGGAAGAGCAGTAGGAACCGGAATCCTTGACCACATGGTGCGAGTTCAGCCAATGGGCTCATCCACAGGGACACAAGGATGCTCTTATGAGGTTCATAAATATGTAAACACCCAAGGATGGGAACCATCTCAAAGTACCCCGTAGGGCTTAGCACAGCTTAGACAATACCAAAGAAATTCACATGCAAAATACAGCAATTCTACCATCACTTTCTAGGACAACGCTTATAAAAGCTCTACCTTTCTGAGGAAGACACCCCCACATACTCCTTCCTCTACCACCCTGGTTTTGCTTAGGAGAACCACGGCTGTCTAGCGGAATGACTTAGAAAGGATGACTTAGAAAGAAAAGCCTGGAAGTATTTCTGCATTATACACCAGGTGATATTCCAATGACTCTTTACCTCCAGACATCTCCTTACATCTTAAGAAACAATGGAAAAATCAGCCCAGAGCCTAAAAATGATAGGCTAGTTTTGGAGATGCACAATATGTAACATGCAGACTGGGGAATATGGAAAACAGTTTCTCCTGCACTGATTTGTGAGATTTACAAATGAGAGAAAACATTTTGAGATTCTGGAGATGGTGATGAGGCAGTTTACCTATTCTTAAAAGTATCACAAACAATTCTTGACAATTTTTACAAATGTTTTGAGACTCCAAGTACATCTTGCACTTCACTTTAATTTTGCTATTAAAACCACCCTGTGCTTAGTCATTTCATAATTATTCAATCTTACCTTTGAAAGAAAAAGATCCTCAATCTCTGACAGGCAAGAGGAGACTCAGATACTAGAGGCTGCACTGGTTAATGGAAGATTGGGACCAACATACTTAAATTTACTTTGTTTGCAGTAATGCTTCCTAAGGCCCATTTGACTTCACAATCCAGGATGTCTGGCTCTAGATAAGTGACCAAACCATCGTGGTTAGCATGGTCATTAAGACCTTTATGTACAGTTCTTCCGTGTATTCTTGCCACCTCTTCTTGATCTCTTCTGATTCTGTTAGGTCCATACCATTTCTGTCCTTTGTTGAGCCCATCTTTGCATGAAATGTTCTCTTGGTATCTCTAGTTTTCTTGAAGAGATCTCTAGTCTTTCCTATTCTATTGTTTTCCTATACTTCCTTGCATTGTTCATTTAAGAAGGCCTTCTTATCTCTCCTTGCTATTCTCTGGAACTCTGCATTCAGTTGGGTATATCTTTCCCTATCTCCCCTGCCCCTTGCTTCTCTTCTTTCCTCAGCTATTTGTAAAGTCTCCTCGGACAATCACTTTGCCTTCCTGCATTTTTTTCTTTGGGATGGTTTTGGTCACTGCCTCCTGTACAATGTTATAATCCTCTGTCCATAGTTCTTCAGGCACTCTGTCTATCAGATCTAATCCCTTGACTCAATTCGTTACCTCCACTGTATAATAATAAGGGATTTAAGTCATACCTGAATGGACTAGTGGTTTTCTCTACTTGCTTCAATTGAAGTCTAAATTTTGCAATAAGGAGCTGATGATCTGAGTCACAGTCAGCTCCAGGCCTTGTTTTTGCTGACTATATAGAGCTTCTCCATCTTCTACTGCAAAGAACATAATCAATCTGATTTTGGTACTGACCATTTTGTGATGTCCATGTAGAGAGTCATCTCTTGTGTTGTTGGAAAAGCATGTTTGTTATGACCAGTACATTCTCTTGACAAAATCCTGTTAACCTTTGCCATGCTTCATTTTGTACTCCAAGGCCAAACTTGCCTGTTACTCCAGGTCTCTTGACTTTCTACATTGGCATTCCAATCCCTTATGAAAAAGACATCTTTTTCCAATGTTAGTTTTAGAAGGTCTTGTAGGTCTTCATAGAACCAGTCAACTTCCACTTCTTTGGTATCAGTAATTGGAGCACAGACTTGGATTACTGTGATGCTGAATGGTTTGCCTTGGAAATGAACCAAGATCATTTTGTCGTTTTTGAGATTTTTTGTTTGCATTACTGCAAACAAAACTAGTGGAGGTGATGGAATTACAGCTGAGCTATTTCAAATCCTAAAAAATGATGTTGTTAAAGTGCCACACTCAATAGGTCAGCAAATTTGGAAAAACTCAGCAGTGGCCACAGGACTGGAAAAGGTCAGTTTTCATTCCAATCCCAAAGAGGGGCAGTGCCAAAAAATGTTCAAACTACTGTACAAGTGCACTCATTTCACATGCTAGTAAGGTCATGCTCAAAATCCTTTAAGATAGGCTTCAGTAGTACATGAAATGAGAACTTCCAGATGTACAAAGTGGGTTTAGAAAAGGCAGAGGAACCAGAGATCAAATGCCAACATTTGCTGGATCACAGAGAATGCAAAGAAATTCCAGAAAAATACCTACTCCTGCTTCATTGACTACATAAAAGCTTATGACTGTGTGGATCACAACAAAGTCTTAAAAAGGTGGGAATACTAGATCACCTTACCTGTCTCCTGAGAAACCTGTATGTGGGTCAAGAAGCAACTGTTAGAACCTTACATGAAACAACTGACTGGTTCAATATTGGGAAAGAAGTACAAGGCTGTATATTGTGACCCTGTTTGTTTAACTTACATGCAGATTATATCATGCAAAATACAGAGCTGAATAAATCACAAGCTGGAATCAATACTGCTCGGAGAAATGACAACCTCAGATATGCAGATGACACCACTGTAAGGGCAGAAAGTGAAGGGGAACTAAAGAGCCTCTTGATGAGGGTGAAAGAGGAAAGTGAAAAAGCCGGCTGAAAACTCAACATTTAAAAAACTAAGATAATGGTATCCTGTCCCATCACTTCATGGCAAGTAGAAGGGGAAAACTGGAAGCAGTGATAGATTTTATTTCATTGGGCTCCAAAATCACTGTGGACAGTGACTGCCACCATGAAATTAAGACACTTGCTCCTTGGGAAAAAAGCTATGTCAAATCTAGACAATGTATTAAAAAGCAAAGACATCATTTTGCTGACAAAGGTCCACACTGTCTAAGCTATGGCTTTTCCAGTAGTCATGTACCAGTGTAAGAGTCAGACCATGAAGGTTGAGCGCCAAAGAACTGATGCTTTCAAACTGTGGTGCGGGAGAATACTTTTGAGAGTCCCTTGTCCCTTGAACTGCAAGGAGATCAATCCAACCAATCCTATAGGAAATCAACTCTGACTATTCATTGGAAGAACTGATGATGAAGCTCCAATACTTTGGCCACCTGATGCGAGGAGCCAACTCATTGGAAAAGACCCTGATGTCAGGAAAGATTGAAGGCAACAGGAGAATCGGACAACAGAGGATGCGGTGGTTGGATGGCATCACTGATACAATGGACATTAATTTGAGCAAACTCTGGGAGATAGTGAAGGACAGGGAAGCCTGGCATGCTGCAGTCCATGGGGTCACAAAGAGTTGTTCAGTTAACAACTGAACAACAAAAACAAAACTTAATTTTGCACAGGTCAACCTTTCAATTCAGAGACTGTTCAACATACAACTCAGCTTTTTCAGTGAATGGGGATTTCTACAATCTCTGGCAATGCGGGGCAGGGAAATTCCCAGATTCCTTAGCTGAAAGGTGCAGTAAACAGATTAGTAGCATTCACTAGAGAACCTTGGAGAATTTTCTCCAGAATCAAACACTAAATGAACCCCCTGCAACCCAGATAATTCTCAAGTGTATTCCCTTATCACTGGCTGTGCTCGATTTACTGCAAAGTGAGGAAACTGATGCATGCGTTACCCAAAACATAAACACTCTGAACTGGCAACTAAAATTTCCTTCAGCTGGCATAAACCATTCAGAGATCTTTGAGGGTGGGAGGATTTTAAACTCCCAAGAGAAAAAGATAACTAAAAAGACTTCTTCAGGTTAAGGGCCAAGTCGAAAGCTATTAAGACAAAAACCTTCTGATAATCACTGGGCGTTTGGAAAGACCCAAAATGTTATAATTTGCCCTAAACTCAGAAGGATTAACATACTGATTTGAGAGAAAGTAGCTTGCAACTTGGACCTTCCATCAGGAGCAGACACAATTCAGGCAGGGCAGACTGGAGCTGGAAGGGTTCCTCAGAGAGACAGCTCAAGGATCGAATTCCCTGTGAGGGTCCCTCCCAGAGGGCAGAGGGGGTCCAGTGGGGCAGGGAGCAGCAAACTGCCATTTTAGAAGGAGAGGGGCTGTGGCCTCAAGTGTTCAGAGACTACAGAAGGACGCATTCAGCCATCCAGGCACAAAACTGACGTGATCTCAGCAGAATTTGAGACAAAAAAAAAAAAAACAAAAAACCACCCGGTTAGAAATGTGAGAGAGGCTCCAGGGAGGGTTCACAGGGGAAAAAAAAAAAAAGGAAGGTTGCCAGCGAAGTTAACCCTGTCTCCCCAGCTGTCTTCTGTGCTCTTGGCAAAGGCCCTTCCTCACCTGTAACCAGCTGACCCAGATGAGAAAAAAACCATGAGAAAAATCAAAAGATCCAAGTTAGTTTAGAGAACCAAAGCTGAGCCCTAAAATTTATGTCAGTTCAGAAATGAGAAACCACTGGGAGAGAGATTCCTGGGGAATCTGAGCGTTTTTCTATATTACTCTTTCCCAGGGGAAAATAAATACACAAACAGTACTTCCTTTTGCAGGTTTGGTAGAGAGAGACCAAGAAAATGCAAGAAGTTTCCCCAAAGGAAAGGAGTTGGGGGAGGCGGGGTCCCCCACAGCGTCACGATTAAAGGGCAGCTTTTTAACCTTTTCCAAAACCAAAAGATTTGGAAAATCTTTGGCAGGGGCTCTGAGTTCGGGTACCAGCCGGGCACAATCAACACAACCCAGGCCGGCCAGCCGCCCAGGAGGGTTTGGCCGAGATACCCGGGACCAGGCCAACTCCGAAACTTGCTCCGCTGCGCCGGAGCTAAGCCTTCGGGCTGGGACGCGCTCCACCTGCCGGGCACCCTACTCGGCCCCGAATCCCTGCACCCCGCCCCTGCCTGGGGAAAAGGCAGTTACCGGAGCACCCGCACGATTGGGGTGGCCCGACCAAGCCGGGAGCCGAGCTGCGCGCCCACCCCACCCCACCGCCCAAGGGCATCCCCTCGCAAGCTTTCTTTCGGGGTCTGCAAGAAGCCCTCCACTCTGACTGGCGCCAGCTTCAGAAACCCCGACTACCTGCCCTTTCGCCCCCCAAGCAGCCCCTCACTCTTCCGACCTCACTCGGGAACTCCTCGGTCCCTGGCATCTTTCCGGGGTGCCCTGGGCTTAGAAGGTGGGTCTCCATGTGCACCCCCAGCCCTCCAACAGGTGAGAAGCCTCGTCACGCCGACCCCCCGCCCTCCGCGCCTGGGAGGATCAAAAGATCTTCGGCACAGGTCCGGGCTGGGCGGGGGTAGCCGGCCTGGCTCACCTGAGCCCAGGAGGAACGCGAGGCGCACCGGTGACGGCCCCCGCTACCCTCGTCCCTGCTTTCTAGCGCCGTGCGGGGCGGGAAGGGGTTGGGGGCGCGCCGCCCCGGGACCCCGCGTCCTCACCTTTGAACCGCTCCATCGGGGCCGCGGCGTGCGCTCCTCGCGGCTCGGCTCGGGCGGCGCTGCGCTCTCGGCGCTCGGCTGCAAGCCCAGGGCCGCGGCGCTGGCCCCTCCCCGTGAGGTCACGCTCACGCCCGGACCTCCTGGCGCGGCTGCAGCGCCCGGCCCCGGCCCCGGCCCCGGTCCCCGCCCGGCGCGTCGCCCCCGCGGGGGAACTCCGCTGCCGGCCCCGGCGGACCGTCAGCTATCGAGTCCGCTCGCGCCCGGAGCCCCGCTCCCGCGCCAGCTGCTTCACGTCCTGGCTCAGAGACTTGACCAAACCCTGCGGGGGGCCCCCGGGAGGGGCGGGCTCGGGCGGCTCTTGGGAGCTCTTCTTCCAACCACCAGGATGCGAACCCACTACCAGGAGGTGGAGACTGAGGTCTGAGTTGGGAGGCTGAGCGGTACCTAGAACACCCCCCATCCCCCATTTGACCCCTGGGTCCGCGCACTTTTGTCCTTGGCATTTCTCGGGGTGGGACATGGGGAGGCGGGTAGGGGCATCCGAGTCAGTCCCCAGTTCTTCAGGACTTGCTGCTACTCGCGCAGAATTTCTGGGCAGCCGATCGCAAAGACGTCTACTTGCTGTCTTCTACCCCAGTCCAGGTTCCCTGGGCGCCTTGTGCCAGGTTCTCCCACGATTAGAATTTATAGAGCCGCCTAGATAAATCCCGGAGAGCAGCGTTCCTGGACAGGCTAAGCGCCGACCGCCCCAAGGGGCAGCATCAATTCCCTAGGAGCCCAGTCTTGGCTCTAACTCCACCACTGCTACCAGGAAGCTGCACACTTCCCGTCTTTCACCTTCCTTTTTTTGACCATTGGTCCCTCCATCAACAGGCCCATGTCCTCCCCACCGGCCCCTGAGGAAGATCCATGTATTCCTTTAAACTTCCATTTTCACTTTAAAATTCAATCACAGTTTGTGCCGAATGCCTGGTTTTGCAACATGTCTCCCCCAACTTCCTCGAAGGAACACTTAAGGAAGATTTGTTGCTGCTGCTGCTGTTTTCCAAAAGACTTCCTAATTCTTTCTTGGAACAGCAGAGTTAGCCCTGATGTGTCGAGACCTTCTGCCCCAGCAGTCTTGGAAATGTTTTTCTGGGTTCCATTAACAGCTTGAATTCTCCATGGCATCCATGGATCTATCCTCGCAGGCCAGGCATGGGACGCTAAGGGCTGTACATGCATAGCCTTTCATTTTTCCTATAAGCCTGTGATCTGAGTAGTAGTATTATTTCTACTATGTAGGTGAAGAAAATGAGGCTTACAGAGGTTAAACAGCTTGCCCAAAGTCACACAGCTAAAAGAGAGCCCAGCAGACATTAAACCCAGGTGGTCTGCTTCTAGATGTTTACCCACAAAACTTTCCTGGTGCTCAAGGAAGTACCAGGCTGTCTGTCACTGTCTTGGGAAGTCTTAGGTCAGGGAATAAAAATGGCCCAGCCAGGTAAGGGCTCTGGTTAGACCCAAGCACAAGGGATTCTGGGAATCCAATAGAGGGCCCTGATTCTGCCTGGAGAAGCCTCCTAAACCTTCTAGAAGAGGAAATGACTGAGCTGAGTCTTAAAAGATGAGTTAGAGCTAGTTTGGTGACAGGAGAGGCAGAGTGGCTGCAGCCTTCCAGGAAGAAAGCAGGGAGCCATTTTAAGGGTCCAATAGTTGTGTGCTGCTGGAGCCAAAAGGAAGACCCCAGGAGTGGAGAAGGTGAGGCTAGAGGGGTGGGCACAGGCCTGCTCCAGGATCCAGAACACGGAGTGATCTGAAAGTTGAGAGGACTGGGCAGCCCTGAAAAGTGAAGGTGTCCGAGATTTCCTGGGCAGCTGAGTGGAGGGTGGAGTGTAGGAAGCTGTCGTACCAGCCAGGTGAGAAGTCACTGGGGTGGTAAAAACCTGAATGAGAGGACCGGGGCAGAAACAGGCAGAAGTTCAAGGCCAGGGCTCTGTGCCTGAGCGCAGGGCTTGAGGGAGATGGAAGGGCCAAGGCAGACCCTGCAGTTTCAGCAACTTAGGTAGCCAGGGGGCAAGCGTCCCTACTCCGTCAGTCAGTTCAGTCGCTCAGTCATGTCTGACTCTTTGCAACCCCATGGACTGCAGCACACCAGACTTCCCTGTCCATCACCAACTCCCGGAGCTTGCTCAAACTCATGTCCATTGAGTCCTTGAGGCCATCCAACAATCTCATCCTGTCATCCCCTTCTCCTCCTGTCTTCAATCTCTCCCAGCATCAGGGTCTTTTCCAGTGAGTCAGTTCTTTGTATCAGGTGCCCAAAGTATTGGAGCTTAAGCATCAGTCCTTCCAAAGAATATTCAGGGTTGATTTCCTTTAGGATGGACTAGTTGGATATCCTTGCTGTCCAAGGGACTCTCAAGTGTCTTCTCCAACACCACAGTTCAAAACCATCAATTATTCGGTGCTCAGCTTTCTTTATGGTTCAACTCTCACATCCATACATGACTACTGGAAAAAACACAGCTTTGACTATATGGACCTTTGTCAGTAAAGTAATGTCTCTGCTTTTTAATATGCTATCTAGGTTTGTTATAGCTTTTCTTCCAAGGAGCAAGCGTCTTTTAATTTCATGGCTCCAGTCACCATCTGCAGTGGTTTTGGAGCCCCAGAAAATACAGTCAGTCAGTCAGTCCTCAGCTATTTATTAGCTGAGCCCCTGTCTGGTCCCAGCTGCTACCAGGCGCTGCAGAGAGCAGAGGCCAGGTAGCAGAGGGACTGCTGTTGGGAGTGTGGGGTGGGGTTGGGGACGACAAGTGGGAAGAGAGATGAGCATCCTTGAATCAGATGCAGACAAGTGTCAGCAAGTTGGGGTGTTGGGGGCAGAAAGTGAAGGGCCCCCAGCAACTCCGAGTAAGCCTAGAGACCCAGGTCTGAGCCCTCCTAGTCACCCCCATACATTATTTCAGTTCTCTCAGCCACTCTTCCAGGTGGACTGGGCTCATGGGGGTTCAGAAAACAGGGAGCATGTGGGCATCTCGGGGAACAAGGGACAGGAAATAGTGTTCAGGGGGCCTCGGGGAAGCAGGGACTGGGAACTGGGTCAAGATGGGGGGGCTCTTGTTTTTTTATGTTCTCCCTCCTCCCTCCCTTTCCTCATCTTGCAGATGGCCAGGCATGGTGCCCACCCTCCCATGTACAGTGTCCAGAGACAATTGGACATTGCTGGGTCCCCAGTTTCCTTTCAAGTTCTCCAGGGTAATCTGGTTGTGCAGCTTGGCAATATGAGACCAGCCTCAAGTCTGCTGACTGCTCACTCCTGACCAGATTTCAACTCCAGCTGTCAGCTGGGGCCAGTAGGTTAGAGGGTCCAGCCCCCCTCCTCCGTCAGGCCTTTGTCACTGCTGACCCTCCCAGAGGGGTGAGGCTGACTCTAGCTGAGGTCACTAAATACAAAAGGTAGGATTCAAGTATCTCCATCCTATGAATGAGAGGATTTTGGGGCCTCACCCAAGTCACCAAGTGAGGTAATCTCTTTTTCAGAACTCAGATCCAGAATTCAGGTTTCCTGGTTCCAAACTCTGTGCTGTGTCACACCCCAGCCTGGCTTTCCCAGGGCTCTAACTGGGCTTCACCCCAGCCAGTCCTCTGGTGGCCGGCTCCGTTAGCACGTCCTGTAATAGCACCATCCTCTCAGAAAGCTTCGGGGGGCTCCATATCTCTCACTCCTGCCCCCTCTCCCCATTCCCCCCACACCACCACCCGGCTCCAGCCCTTTAATTGCCTCTTCTTAAATCCTCTCTAGTTTATCTACAGAGACTTGGGAAATCCCAGAGCCTCTAGACAAACAGAAATCAATCAGAAATGTAAGCAGAATGAATTTAAAATGAGACTTCACCACTCTTCTCAAGAATGAAACTGAAACACTACTTCAAACCATCAGTAGGAATCAGAGCTTTGGAAGGCTCAGCACTGCGTCCCCCTCTTTCCAAGCTGCGTGTGTGTGTGGCTCAATTGTGTCCAACTGTTTGTAACCCTATGGATTGTAGCCCACCAGGTTCCTCTGTCCATGAGATTCTCTAGGCAATAATACTGGAGTGGGTAGCCATTCCTTTCTCCAGGGGATCTTCCCAACCCAGGGGTTGAACCCAGGTCTCCTATATTGCAGGGAGACTCTTTACTGTCTGAGTCACCAGAGAACATTCAAGTCCTGGATGCAGTTTAACCCCGTGTCTTTAGTCGCTTTGCAACTTCCACAAAGGAGCCACCCCATTCAGAATCTAATTCATTGAGTTTCTGGCCTCTAGGATCAGAGGATCTGGTTTCCTGCACCTTCTCAACCTTCTGAGGGCTCTGACCAACCCCACCCCAGACAGACCACAGGATCCCTAATGGTCTATTCTGTTGCAGGCAGTCCTGAAACCAAATTGAGTACCTCCAATCTGGAGGGTAGGTAGTGGGTGGGTGTTCCCACCAAGTTCAGCAGGGCTAGGGGTGGACTGGGGCCTCTGGGTGCGGGTGGAAGAGTCTGGAATCAGCTAGAAGGGCTGATTCTCCCCTAATTCCTAAACCAGTTCTCGGCACCAGCCAGGTTTCTTCAATCATAAAGTGTTGAGGCAATTGCCAGCTGAGGCAATGAGGAGGGGAGCCCAGCTTTATAAAATTATCCTATTTAATTCTCACAGCCACCCAGGCAGCATATACATTTCCCCATATTTCACACATGGTGACCTTGGAACTTGCCCAAGGTCACCACTGGGCAGGACCCAAGCCAGTCCCATTTGAGCACCATCTCTGACCCAGCTACCTAGGAGTATAACTGCTGGGTGATTTGTTAATTCCATGCTTAACTCTCTGAGGAACTACCCAAAATGTTTTTGCAGAGGCTTCACCATTTCACATTCCCACCAGCAAGGCATAGGGGTTCCCGTTTCTGCACACCCTCATCAACACTTTTTATTTTCCATTTTAAAAAATTATTCCCATCCTAGTAGGTTTCATTATATTTTTAAGACTCTGGAGTCAACATGCCGTGAAGATAACATTTCTTCTTAAATCTGAGTGGTTGCTACAAGAGTGCATTTTATATTATATAGTGAGGACCACTGGCTGGGGTCAACCCTCTCATAGTTTTGTTGATGCATTTGAAGAAGCCAAGGCCTAGAATTTTGAAGTAGAAAGTGTTTGTTCAATATTCAGGTGACTGACCCTCCTGGCCAGCATATTTGAAATACTCCAGAATTTAAAATAAATAAATAACAATAAATATTTGGGTGGCTCAGAGGGTAAAGAATCTGCCTACAATGCAAGAGACCTGGGTTCAATCCCTAGGTCAGGAAGATCACCTAGAGAAGGGAATGGCAACCCACTCTAGTATTCTTGCCTGGAAAATTTCATGGAGAGAGCCTGGCGGACTACAGTCCACAGGGTCACTAAGAGTTGGACATGACTGAGTGACCAACAACCAACACTTTCAAAGAAATAAAGACAGCCAAGGCTTCAAGGAAGGGGGCAAGGAGAGGGGGTGGACACATGCATCCTTGCTCTGTCTTTTCCTCTCCCATGCTGTCTTTCCTAATGCTTGCCCCAGCCCATCTCCAGGCCCTTCTGTCTCCTAACTTCTGCCCAGATTCCCAGTCCATTGATGCAGAACATTTCAGGGCTGTTCGGAAACGGGGAATTACCAGCAAATCCAGCATTCAGGATGCCAGAACCCAGAGCGGTGCCAGCACCAACCAAAGCAGACCAGCGGCTGGCAGGTGGCACCAGCACCCAAGCTCAGTTCCAGCGAGAGTTCTTCCTCCAGCTGCTTGTGCTCGGGCTCAGATGCCCCTTTTCCCTGGGTAGTCCCAACACCGTGTCACCCGAAGTCGTACAGAACCCCCAAAATGTGCCTGAATTATGGTGCCTGGGCAGTGGTCAGCGTCTTGATCTTGGTTTCACTTTTTGAGGTTTTTTTTTTTTTGCTGACTCTTCCTGTGATTACTAAGATAATCATTTCTCAGATGAGGCTTGGGAAGAAATGAAGCTGAACCAGAACTGACAGCCTTGCAAGGTTCCTCAGAGTCCCCAGATAAGGACACCTTGCAGAGGAACCATTCATTTGTGCCTGGAAGCTGAGAGTACTTGCTGCTTCCTTCCCCAAGCTCCCCTCCCCCTGCAGAGCCCCAGCTGGTCCTTCCAGACCCAGCCCAGAGGCCTTTCTCCTTCATCAAGGCTTCCCAGAACATTTTGAAAGGACTGAAGGATTGAAAGGATTCTTGAAATCCTGTTAACACTTTCTCACTTCCAAGATCCATTTCTCATTTACTATCAGAAAACAACAACCATCTTTTTAGATCTTAAGCTCTCCAAATAGCTTACAGGATCTTGTGAACAGGAACTCAGTAAAAGCCCCTTGATTGCCAGCCCATCAGGACTGGCAAGTCTCAGGTGCCTAGGTTTATAGACGGGCTGTGGGTCCACAGACCCTGCCATAAGCCCGCAGCCATTTGTCTGCAATAGGTGCTTTCCCGGCACTGTGCTGCCAATAGGCTCAGCTCCCCAAGGCCTCTTGGGGCTGCCTGGGCCCACGCCGGGCCAGAACAGCTCAGCTTCTTAATCCTTGTCCATCTAGCAAGGCTGAGCTTCAAATTCTCATCACTGCATTCCAGAACCCACTCCCTCCGGGCTGACCTGCCTGGTGACTCTTCTTCCCACTCCTTGGTGCACTCTTTTTGGATCCCTTTCCAATGGCTGGATGAAAGGAGTGGAATTTTAAGTCTTTTGCCCTAAAGTCACTGACTGGGGTAAGGGATAAAATATAAAACCTGCTATTGTTAACTGTGGGCTTCCCTGGTGGCCCTCAGTGGTAAAGAATCTGCCTGCCAACACAGGAGATGTGGGTTCCTTCCCTGGGTTGGGATGATACCCTGGAGGCATGGGCGGATAGCAACCCACTGCAGTATTCTTGTCTGGAGAATTCCATGGGCAGAGAAGCCTGGTGGGCTACAGTCCATGGGTGTCACAAATTGGACATGACTTAGCAACTGAGCACTGATACATAGGGTAAAAGGGATGGAAATGGGAAGTAGTTACTGAGTGATTGCCTCAATCTTGCAGAAACAAGATTTCATTTATATTGAAGATAAAGTGGGCATGTACTGATGGAGCTCCTGCTAGGCAGCCCCGGGAGAGGCAGGAGGGATTGGAAGGCTGTCTGGGGGGCACAGGCGCATCTCTGTGACCCTGATCCAGGAGACTTCCCCAGCAGGTCCTCTGCGCTGCTGCCAGCTCACCAATATGCCTACCTTAGACACACAGCATGGTTTTCCTTTAAAAGTACCCATTGAGTTCAGTCCCCCCAGTATCAAGTTCAGTAAGGGATGTGCCAAGAGAATGACTGACCTGGAGCCACAAGAGCAGGACTGGAGCTGGACTCTGAATCCCCTGATTCCCAGGCCAGGGCTCTTTCTGCAGCAACCACTGTGCAGAAAGGGTAGAAGCAGGTCTAAACCCAGTTCCTCCAGGATGGAAAATGCTGCCACATCTGACCAAGGCCCCTGGTCCTGTTCTGCTCAGACAGTCTTTCTAGAGCCCCAGACACCAGGCTCTTCACTGTGGGTACAGCCTAGCACATAGACTCATCCACAAGTCATCATGAAAGAGTGAAGCATTTTCCACAGGCGTGATTGTATCCCTGAGGGGACAAAAATTTGATCTTGGGAGGGGCAAGAAAAATCTCATGGTATATAAACATACACACATAGCATATAAACAGATACACAGTATGTCTATGGCATTAAAATTTCACAGATAAGTAAAATCTCAGCCGCCAATTAAAACATGTTTGGGGCTTTTCCCCATACCACCAAACAATGCTCTGATATCAGCTGGGTACCCTATGATTCGACTCAATTCTGACACCATCTACCTGGAGATAGCATCAACTCCAAAAGGTTAAGGGTTCAGTCCTACTGAACTCCAAGTCCTACTTGGAGACTGAGCTCCAAGCCCTTCCCCGCCCCTAATCCCCACAGCTTCTGATGCCAGTCCCAAATTCAGGTTATCACTATGCTTCTGATCAATTGCCTATATACTGGTAACGCCCAAGACTTTGTTTTCAGGTTTGATTAATTTGCAAGAGTGGCTTACAGAACTCAGAAATACATTTTACTTCCTAGATTACCAGTTTGTAATAAAAGGATACAACTCAAGAATGGCCAGATGGAAGAGATGCAAAGGGCAAGGTCTGGGGGAGGGGCACAGAGCTGCATGCCTCTCCCAGCTCATCGCTATCTCCAAATCTCCAGGTATTCATGAAAGCTGGAAGTTCTCCGAATCCTTTTCTTTGGGGTTGTTATGGTGTCTTCATTACATGGGTATTATTAATTAAATCACTGGCCACCAGTGACTGATTCAACCTTCATCCCCTTCTCCCCTTCCTGGGGGCGGGATGGGGGTCAGGGGGTTGGGACTGAAAGTTCTAACCCTTAAGTCACATGGTTGGTTCTCCTGGCAACATGTCCCCATCCTTAGGAGCACTCTAAAATCACCTCATTGACATAAACATGGGTATGATGAAAGGGGGTTGTTATGAATATCCAGACATCTTTATCACGCTTATCACTTAGGAAAGTTCAAGGGTTTTAAAAATTTCTAAGCAGCTATAAATTTCTTGTCATAAATCACAATATCACAAATAGAACCTAGGAGAAAATGTCTATAAAGGCTCCTAGACAGGGAGTTCCCTGGTGACTCAGTGGCTAAGGGGGCCTGGGTGTGATCCCTGGTCAGGGAACTAAGATCCCACATGCCACAACTAAATATCCCTAGTGAAACTTAGACCTGTGCAGCCAAACAACTAAATAATTTTTTTTAAAGGCTTACGAACAGAGGCGATGAGAAAAGAAAGGTGAAAAACACCAAAACATAGGCTCTACCGTCAAGGTTAGACTCTCCCCTCTACCTGTTTCTAGCTGATGACCCTGGGCAACAAACTCAACTTTTCTGTACGCCAGTTTATCCCTTAAGTCAAATCAAGATAAAAATTGTATTCACATCACAGGTTGGCTGTGAGGATTCCATGAGACAGACAATACACATAAGGCACTTAATTCCGTGTCTGAGACGTAAGTTCTCAACAGGTGTTAGATGCAACAATGATCAAGATGGCTGGAAGGGAGGGCGTCTTCCCCCACATGATAAGAGTCACTGCCTTCTGTGGGCTCCCTTGATGGCTCAGTGGGTAAAGAATCTGCCAGGAATGCAGGAGACACAGAAGACTCAGGTTCGACCCCTGGGTCAGGAAGATCCCCTGGAGGAGGACATAGCAACCCACTCCAGTATTCTTGCTGGAAAAATCCCATGGACAGAGGAGCCTAGCAGGTTATAGTCCAATGAGTCGGGTGCAATTAAGCACACATGCCTCCTATGGCAGAGAAAACAAAGCCCGGGATGGTTTCAGAAATCCCTCTACAGGAAGAAGGGTCCTGCTTGGTACCAGGGATTAGAACTGGTGCTAAGATTTCAACCATTCATCCACTCACCCACCCACTCAGGTCTCTGCTCTCCATCTCTACTTCCCTGTGTCTGACACTAAGCATGGCACCTGGGGCTTTATTGGATGATAACTGCACAAAGGGACTTATAGACTCAAAGGGGACCAGAAACTCCATCTTCACTGGCAAAAAAAGTCTCATCTACTAAGTGAGTGCTTCTTAGATGGTAACATGTATAGGAATCACCTGGGGATCTTGGTAACATTCAGCATCTGATGTGGAAGATCTGGAGTGGGACCAGAGAATCTGCCTTTGTGACAACCTCCCAGGCGATGCAGATGCCCTGGTCCAGCACTACAAACTGAGGAGCCAAACAGTCACGAGGCTTTCCTTTCCCACAGTTAACCAAACCGAGGATATGATGCTTCCCTTTCTCTGTTGATGGTTGCCTACTATTTTATCATGGGCCCATGATAAAAGCATCTAGAAGATTTCATGCTGGTAAATTCTAGAGAAGACTCTTGAGAGTCCCTTGGACAGCAAGGAGATCAAACCAGTCAATCCTAAGGGAAATCAACTCTGAATACTCATTGGAACGACTGATGCTGAAGCTTCAATACTTTGGCCACCTGATGGGAAGAGTCGACTCACTGGATAAGACCCTGATGCTGGGAAAGACTGAAGGCAGGAGGAGTAGAGGATGACAGAGGATAAGATAGTTAGATGGCATCACTGACTCAATGGACATGCATTTGAGCAAACTCCAGGAGATGGTGAAGGACAGGGAAGCCTGGAGTGCTGCAGCCCTAGGGTTGCAAAGAGTTGGATAAAACTCAGTGACTGAATGAACAACAACAACGAATTCTGGAACAAAATCTTCAAGGCGAGTCCATTCTGCACCTGGGGTCACAACTGGTTTCTGAGGATTCTGAACGTTAAGTTACAGTGAGCTCGCTTCAGTGCCCCTGCTGGATCAAACAGTTGTACTTGTTTTTCTTTCAGGATCAAAATACTCTGGTGGAGGGAGAAGAGAATGGGATGAGGAAGAGAGAGGGGAGGGAGAAGAAAAGCCTGGCCAGGAGGAGACACCGTGGAGAGAGAGGAGGATCCTAGCCAGGCACTTCCAACTTCCCTTTTGTTTGGAAACAGCCTCAGGTAGCCAGCATTTCTCCTGGCAAAAACAACTGAGAGAATGTCAATGGGTATAGAGGAGGCTCCACCAGGACAGAGCACTTGAAACCAGGCCACTAAAATCAGCCGCTGTCTGGGGACCTCGTTCTGTCACTCGATTAGAATTTTTAGTGTAATTCAAGTAATGTTTACGGACGGACCCAGAGCAGAAGGGCCTGGGGTGTGGGGTTTGGAGCCAAGAACAGGCCGGTCCCAGATGGCAAGGAACAACAATCGTTTTTCTTTTTTTAAAAAAAAGCACTTGAGGAGCAGTTTTCTCAGAAAAAGAGTAACCTGTTAA